CAAGAATATGTGTCTTGAATTATAGATGTTTCTCTTTCCTTGTGTGAATTGCCTAAAAAGGAAATTTTTAAGGATCTTTTGATATATTTAGCTAAAAAAAAAAACATTGAGCTCTTAAAATTTTTTATTTTTATATATATATATTAATAAAAATTGATAGGTGGTGCAAGACTTTTGTGAACTACTGTATCTTCTATTATCCAAAAAATCAGATTCCTCATTAATTCTTTTCACTTATAATAGTAAAAGGTTCTTGAAAGAGATGAAAATCCTTATCAATTATGATATTCTTTAACAACTTCTGGAAAAATATATTTTCAATTGTAATCAAAGAGTTGAAGCTTAGTATGGACTAGAGACTATTCAATCTTATTGCCTAATCAAGATAAAAGAAAAATCTTGATCTTAAACTTTGTTTAACCAGAATAATAAGAGAGAAAGACCTTAGTTTAAATAAATAGCAATTTTTTCATTACCTGAGAACTTGTTACTTGTATCTTAATGATCTTATAGAACTTAATCTATAAGTTAATTCAATTGAAGGAGTAAATGAATATAGTGCATCAATCAACTTTTTCAATCACTAATAATATTATCCAAATATATAAGGTAATCAATAGAAGTTTGTTTATATTTAGCTATTAATGTATTTTGTGTCAATCAATCAGATATCAAGTAATATTGTATTATTAAAAATTTAGGGTCAAACTAAAGTAGGCAAAATCTCTCAAGAAAATTATGAAAAACAGTAGGCACTTTAAGAAGATATAAAATAATATATGAAATGGTGAATAATAAATCTTTTTCTGTCAATAAAATTTCTATTTCTTGTTACTTCCAGTTCTGTAAGGTGATACTTCACTTGACACTTTCTAAAATTTTCTTACTTTAATAAAGGAAATGCATACTTGCACCTTTTTAGATCACTAGAGACTCAAGTTTTTATTCAAAAAAGTTTATAAACAAGTAAGAGAGGATAGAAGAGATATGTGAAGACAAGCTTCAAGTTGTTTTAATTAAAGTATAAAAATTTATTAGCAAGGAAATATAAAACTTCTTATAAACATCTTTTTTATATGTGATCAGAGGATTAGTGAAAAGAGTTTTAATATTAATCTATATTAATCTAAATATAAGTTTTATAAAATTAATAGTTTTTTTTTTTATTATTATAAATTAATTTCTATATACTATATATTTTTTTTTTAAAAAAAAAAAAAATTCAAGAAAGAAAAAAGTTAATAAATCAATATATATTTTTACTAATAATATTTATAAAGTAATTTATAAAATATTTTTATAATATAACTTAAAGAAATATTAATTTTTCTTATATATTTAAACTAAATTATTTCTTCAAAAAAACAATAAAAAAAAAATTTTTTTTTTTGAAATATAAGAATTATTGAAAATAAAATTTTTTATTGTTTTTTTTTTAGAACAAGATAGTTAAAATTTCTTGAAATTATTAAAATACTCATATAGTTTATATTGTAAATAGTACTTTTTTTTTTTCTATTAACTATTTAAAATTAAAATTCCTTTTTTGATAAAAAATATATAAAATTTCACTTATATTTGTATTAAAAAAAAATATTGGATTTTCTAATTTATCTTGGAGTGTTAATATAAATCTATTTTGCCTCAAAATTAGAAAATTTCAATGTTAAAAACAATTAAAGTTTTTTTTAAAAAGAAGTAAAAGAAAAACTAATTTTATATTTATACTAATTACTATATGACTTATATAGAAAAGAAAATATACACTTGGATCTATTATATCTTACCGAAAACCATATGAAAAAAAATATGTTTCACCATTCATGCATTCAGAGCAAGGGATGTTGTTATTTGCTTTTTCATTGTTATGTAACAATTTTCAATCAAAATTTATGTACTGGCTTATTGGTTATTTCGGTTATTATTAATAATATTATGCAAAAAGATCATTGTGGCATCAGTTGGATTCCAATAAGACGGACCACGATATGTCTTTGGATTAAAAATAATAATAATAGGATTATTAAAATATGAAACTTTTTTAACTAACTAAAAAATCAATTGACCGAATATTTAATTCAATATCTTTATTACAGAGTCATTGTTGTGCGAAAACTTTGAGACATTTTTAATACTGCATATTGTCACATTAGTCACAAGAACTACCATACACATTAGTTTTTTTATTAGTAACAATAAAAGTCTAGAATTTGGCAATAAAGAGAATTCAAACGAACTCGTCAAACATCCAAGTGAATAATTGTCCAAATAAATTTCAAATAAATATGATCGTAATTAATAAGCTCTAAATATAACAAGTAATTATGATCATTTTAATATTAATATGCTTAAATGGACTTTTGAAAGCTATTTACTGAGATAATAATAAAATAAATGTTAGTTAATGTTGTAACACAGCGAATAAAATAATTAATGTAAGAATATTTACCAATTGCAAGGAGTGTTCGTTTAACGATTATTCATTAGGACCTACTGCCGCGCTGCTTGGTCCGTACGATTCGTTACGAACTCTCTTTTTCTGTTGTCGAGCACGGAAGAGATCATAGTCTGGAGGTCGATTGATTCCAGGGCCACCTATATGTGATATCATGGGTTATAATTTATGGTTATATTTCGATTTGGTATGAATAAGAGGAGCGCTTGATTTAAATGAGGTTAATAAGTTAAGTTTACCTCTGCCCTGAAATTCTTCGGTTTCCCCATCAAAATCTCTTCGTCTGCGCTTAGCACTAAACTGAGATCCACCATCGCTTATACCTCGACCACGTTGCACAGGAATTGAACCCTAGAATAGAGATAACAACGATTAACAGTGAATCTATATTTCAAGTCAGATAAATTGAGAGTCATACCCTCATTTGCTTTCCGAGCCGACCCGAACCACCACGGCCACTTTCCATGTTCCGGTCATAGCTTCTAGAACCGTCGCCATATCTGCCATCTCCACCATAACCTCTACCATCGCCACGAGCTGGACTACCTCCTCGAGATCTATCCCGTGATTGTTGAATAGGTGGTTGAAGTGAATGTGATGGTGGTCCACTTAACAATCCACCGCTTGGCACGGAATTAAGGAGCAACTCTATTAAATCCGTAGGATTTATTATTTGTCCTATTGAAGGTGTGCAGCAAGATGAATATAATCTATATCATGTTTATCAAAATATTGCGTTTTATTTACAAAGTAGTATGCTTACCGTTAAAACTTGATGGTGCAGGCAATACTGATAAAAATTTAACAATGACATCAGGTAACATCATCCCATTTGGACCATGCGTCCAATTAAAAGGTGCAGGTTGAGAAAGATTCTGCGTTGATGGTGGACTTGTTATTGTGGATGGGCCATGTGAAACTCCCTGCGATGCTGGAGGTGGAGATGGACGTACTTGTTGTGTTGAACCAGGAGTAGAGGATACAGGTGGTGGGAAAAATGGGCGCCGTAATTGTTCTGCCGTAGGCTTATACAAAACCCATTGTCGAAAGTCTGGTCGAGGATATTTTTCTGGGTGAACAGAATCCAATAGTGCACGCCTAGTGGGTGCAGAATCTTGCTCTTCTTCGTTTTGAACTTCGGATGGTGGACTCTCGATAGTTTCCGGATCAGCTAAAAGAGTGACAAGCAAATAAATGGAATGACCGAGTATTTAAGTGAGCTAATAACATAATTGGCTAATTGCTTACGTTTCGGACCAACTTCCTTTTTCAATATGACGTTGGTGTCTAAAAAACTATACCGATCTGCAAATCGAGATAGTGTAGATTCTGCAAATTTCATAGGGTTGGTTAAATACAAAGATAATAAATTGATAATCGAATCTCAATTAAACCGATCAATTACCCTCTGGATATTCTTTTGACCTCCGCTCATCAATTTTTCGAATCGCCGTAAGATCCCCATATTTATTTTCATACTCTGAAAACCGTTTCCATAAAATCTTAGCCTTCTCAACCGGCATTGACATCAGAGTTCGTTCGAATAGAGCTCTTGCATCTACAAAGTTTATCTATTTAGTACAACTAATACATAAGGAAAAAGAAATATAGAAATAAAGCCAAAACTTACTATTATCGTCATTCAACTGAATTAAAAAGTCCAAATATTGTGCCACATATTCAGGATTGTCCGCGTAATTTTTTAGTCCCAGCTCAAAAATCTTACCGGCAACCGATTGGTCTTTGCTACAGTGATATTCCATCAATGCTAAATTTATATCGTCAGATTAGCTGTGTTAAGTAGGAGAGAAGAGACTTAAAAACATGAGGATCATATCCTTACCAGAGGCCACAAACACATGATATGTGCAATGTCTTGACTTTCTAGCTCTGCTAAAGATTGCTCTAGCAGCTTTAATGCCCTAATAATTATAAAATTGATGAGTCTATATTCATATCATTACCAAACAAACATCAGTGGTTGATTTTAAATTTCTAAAAATCTGAGTGAATACCTCCGTGCGTCTTGTGAACCGCATCAGCATTATCCATGTAAGACCGCAAGCCTTTGCCAATTCATCTATTTCTTGACGTTTGCTCTCCTCGAGTTTAACTCGCTCTTTCTCCCGTTCTTTTTCTTTAATCCTTAGTTGTTCGCGGGTCTCACCATCCATCTCCGTATCTCCATCCTCGTTAACACTTTCTATGGACGACTGCATCAAAGATCTGACTTCTACCTCAGTAGATTTTTCTATTTCTTCAATCTGGGATTGAACGTGTGAAAGTAAAGACTCGTAAGCCTGGCGAGCTTCGGTATGTTGTTTCCGATGTTCTTGTAATTCGGCGTAGGCAAAGTGAACAAGAAAGCTATTATAAATAATAATACATCTGTCAACATCACTAATAAAAAAAAGATGAAGAAAACGAGAATAATAATGACCTATTCGGCATAATTTCCATCGCCGTCTTTAACAGAGTAACTGTCTCCTCTTCCTTTTTAATTGATGCCCAGTAATTCGCAGCCTCAAACCTATTATCAATTTGGTAAGTAAAGAGTCTAGTCACAAGCACAGTCACGTAAAGTGTATTTTCCTACCATATCTCGGGATAAAAACGCAAGTACATCATTGCCTGCTTATAGACGTATATTATCCTCTGCGTCAGCGCCGATTGATCTTCGAGCGCCAGGGGATTCGACTTCTCCCATTCTATCCATTCTTTCCAATATGAGAGCTATATATCATGTTCACATATGTAAGCGTGATTATATTTGCATAAAAAGTTTTGCGATTAACATGCTACCTGTTCTCTTTCAGTTTTACTCCACTTTGGAGGTGTGGGAACTACATTCTTATTGATCTTGTCTGTAAACCGACGCATCTCTTTCACAGCAGCTCGTGCAGTCATATACGATGGTGAACGATCTTGCAAGAATTTTTTTGCCTAACGATCATAATGCATGCGTACAAAAGATTAATGAATATTTAAACACGCATTCTTCCATAAACCCATTTGAAATCAAAGACTCACCGTAACTTTGTTCAATGCATTTTCGAATTGATCATATTCTTTCCAAATGAGTTCAACATTATTTAGGGGAATGCATATAGCTTTTTGATATGCTTTTCTCATAATATCCATTTTTTGTTGTTCTTCCCAAGTATTATGCGTTTCACCAGTTTTCAAGAAAAACAAATAATCACACCATAGAGTACCAGCATCCTTATCCAAACCAACGTGATTAAGAACATACTCATAAGTGGCAGAAATAGTTGCCCTTGCATGAGAGCTTGTCGCTGATCCCTTTTCCACTTGATTCATACGACGCACATAATTAAGATAAAACTTCCATAAGTCAACTGACAGGACAGAGCGAAGACAACGAGCAAATATATTTTCCACTCTGTCGTAATGTTCATGTTTGAGTTCGTATTCGGCGTATTGTACCCATTGACGTGACTAGAATAAATTTCGTTGACAAGCAACAATTTACGGATAAAAAAAAAGAAGGATTCGTACGTTATATCAGAAGAAGCCCAATCAATATATATATATGATCCTTACATTGGGACCTAATAAGATTTCAATTTAATGTGAAGATGAACATATCTAAATTCCTCAAAATCTCAACCCCAAACAAACATTCAAATCATTACATAAAACATCCTATTTTCACCCGTCACCCAAAGTTAAATGATTTGATACAATGAAACATTTATTATGACAAAAAGATTTTCTCATTATGAATCTCTCTCCTTTTTTTTTTTTTTTTAGAATACAAAATCTTTCACTTACCGATGTTGGAAATTTCTGTAGAAACCTCTCATATGTATCTCTAACTTTATCTATGTCTGCCTTTGCCTGTACTTCAGCAAGTAAACTTAACCAAGCCTCCGTATCGTGGACATTTTCAGATATGCGTGCTTCGTATTTCTCAAACTGCAAGCTCTTCAAATTTTTCTTTGGTTGTAAAGCACTTGGTGGGATTTGCCAAGAAGCAGGTTCCGCTGCTGATGGGGGATCTCTCGTGAGGACTTTTTGAGTTGAGGGCGATACTGCTGGAGAACCATCAATATTATTATTTGGATCATCGGAAGGATAAATCATATTTGAAACATTTCCAACAGGAACACCTCTCTGAACATTTGCATTATTATTTTCAGGGTTTTGAACGGAGGGTCTATTTATATTGCCAGATATTTGAACACTTGTGTTGGCAATTATTCCAGTAATCGTTAAGTTATCACTCAGTTCATTCAAAAAACCATTGTTACTACTTTGTACTGCTTCCCTTGTAACAAGCGAAGGTACATTTTGTTCAGGAAAACTGGTAAAATTCAGGGAACTATCAAAAGCCCCCCCTTCCTTTTTAATTGTAACGTCAGTAACATCCATTTGCACGGTAGACATTTAACAGAGAAAATTTGTTTATTACTATTATACAATAACAACAGTCACAAAAGTCACAGTTGATCTTGAAAACTATGTCTATATTTTTGTCGCGAGATGAAGAGTTGTATATGGTAAATAATTTTTCGAGTAGACTTTTTTTTATTTTTTTTTGTAAACGGCAACAATACGCTCTATTATAATGATTGATTTGACACGTGATATGATTAATAGTATGAATAAAAATAGCTAACAAGTATTATCATTCAACCAATTATTTTCGAAGTACCTTATAATTGGCATTTGTCATTGAGCTAATAATAAATAACTTATTAAAAAACTATGCTATTTAAGGAGTTTATTAAGCTAAGTTTAACTAGATATTTTAAGTTAAATTTCGAAAATGATATTTTATTTTTTTAATATCTTCTAAAATACAATAAATTGTTGAATTAATATATTAAGAAAATTGGTTTATTATATAGTATAAGATATTTATAATATATATGAATTAAAAAAAAAAAGTTATGTGATATGATTAAGGATTAAAAAAAAATATTTATAATATATATAACTTTTATATATTAATCTATTTATAGTTGAAATATAACTTTTTTATTAATAATAATTTGATAAATAAATACTAATATAAATATTAATATAAATAATAAAAAAATGTTTGTTTAAAAGTTTTTTAACTTTTTAATTAATAAAATCTTAATATTTTTTTAAAACAACTTAAAAAATATTTTCAAGAAATTTTTTTATTTATTATTTTTTATTTATAAATTTCTTTGATTAAAACTTAATTTTCAATAATAATAAAAATCAGGTAAATATTTTTATTATTAATAACAAAAAAAGTTTTTTTTAAAAAAAATTTGATTATAAATAATAATAAATATTTAATAGTTAATATATATAATTTTATAAATTATTTATATTCTTTTTTGAAAATTAAAATTTATAACTTTTTACTTTAATAAAAACAAAATTCAAGAAATATTATAAATTAAAAGATTAAATAATAAAAAATTGGTTTAAATAGTTTTTTATATTTATTAATTTAAAAATTTTAATATTTTTAATAAGTAATATTTAAATTTTATTTATATTTTTTCTTTTAAAAACCAATTTTTAACTATAAAGTATTTAAAGATTTTTGTATTTTTAAAACTCTTTTATTATTACAAGATAAAAAATTATTAAAAAATCCAATTTTTTGAGTAATAAAAGATAATTC